ATACTTAACATTCCCTATAACCTCTCTCTTTCACAAGGACAGACCTATGTTCTCAACTGTGAACTTAGCTAAGACTATCTCTACTTGATACTGTAGACAAACTACTGAGTAGTAAACAGGGCTGGGTAGCATTCTGAACATTCTGAGATCTTAGAATACAGGAGAGGGGGGGGTGGCAAAAGTTTAAAAGGGTTTAGAAAGTTTAAAATTTAAAAATGTAAAAGGGTTAGGACAAAGAAAAGAGATTGACACAACAGTAAGTACTAATGCCCAAAATGTAGGAGAGTTGTAGGGTAGTAATAGGGAGTCTTGATCTGATGTTAGTAATAGTGTAGAGGGGACCTGAAGGCTCAGTAAGGGGACCCAGGCTACAACTATCCTACACAACAGAGATACAGAATACAAGTACTAGAATGTAGTCAGAACTTGCAGAACAGACATAGAGAGAGAGTGAGACAAGAGTAGAGTATATAGAGTGAGTCTAAGAGTACAGAACTATTTAGAGTAGATAAGATTAAGACTATAGAACTAGTCTAATCTTATACACTTATATATACTAAACTACACAAGAGTACTTAGGGAATAGTAAGCTACTAAGAATGATGAGCTGTAAAGAAATGAAAAGAAGGAAGATTAAAGATAAAGGTATAAAGAATGAAGGGATAGACAAAGGGTAAGAGACTATAGAATGAACAAAGAATGAAGGGGTGGTCAAAGGAACAGAATGATAAAGTAAGAAGGGGTAGTAGTGAGAGGCAGTCTGTATATAGTCTATAGACAGTACTTCTGAGGGACAGAAGTCCTGAGTTCTAGTACAGAAGGGTACAGAACCCTCAGAACTGAGGGTGTAAGAGTAGAGAACTGTAACAAATTTTAGCATATTATAATAGGAGTTAAGTACTTGTATCTCACATGTAATGTTGTAATAATACTATTAGTAAGCTTACTTACTCTAAAACATGTTTTTAGTTTAATAGAAACTTTGTATATTTCTTACATTTATATACAATCATTATAATTACATTACAAGTAAAATACAAGTATTATTTTAGAATGTAATACTTATGAAATCATTTTATTAGATTACTTTTGCTATTATTAAATACATTTGTTGCAACTTTTTTGTGATGACAGTATAATCAGCTGGGTGACATTGTTATAGAACCTGAGGTTCAGTATAGGCATTGTAATAGTAGATTAGAGAGACAAGGGCAGTAATGTTTATTGTCTGTATTGTTACAGGCAGAGTACCTGCTGGAGAACACTTGTAAGCAGACAACTAGGCTAGAGAGAACAAAAGCAACTACATAGTGTTAGGGGCAAAGGGTTGGGGGAGATGATAGAGGTAGGAGATAAGGAAGTGACAAGGACAAGTGTATCATTATATGCTCTTGATCCTCAGCTTCGATTACATAAGCAAAGGGTGAAGGAAGAGTGTGTACTCAAATAATTTATACACATTGAATATTTGGTTATAGATACATTGTATCCATTATAAAATATACATTATAAATACAGTTAGTTCTATTATAATAGTATAATACAATATTAAATTAAGGCTACAAATTCTTTACTAATTCCTTACATGTTCAGCCTTTAGGACATCTGTTGCAAAAGTTTGGCACTAGCAGTAAGGCTACATTAATAGGGAAGTATCTTGTATTAGAGAGTTGCATTCATAGCATATGTTAGATAAGGACTGGCACAATCACAGATTACCTAGAAGAACCTTATACAGACATGATTAAGCTTTAAGTACAGACTCTACTCAGACTTTTTGTATAGCTGACTTGACTTGTTTTCCTTTTATTCGAATTGCATTCTATAAATTATTATTACTACTTAAGTATAAGTCTCTGTATTCCTTCTTTGAATTACAATGTGTATATCATAAGTGCCATAGTATTGTAATACAATAATAATCCATGTAGTGAATTTATATGAGACAAACAGTATTATTCCTCAAGTGTAAGGTACTGCATTTATTGTTTAGAATGTAATTCATATGATACACTGATTGAAACTATGTTTCACATATCTAATACATTTATATGTATTATAATGCACTAACAACAGCTGTGTTTAGTTGACATGACACAATTATACTTGTATATCACTGACATTAACTGGCAAGTCTTGTATTTTCAATGTATTATTAAACAATACTAATAATTGTTTGACAGAGACATTACAAATCTTGTACTACATTATACTGTCTACAAGTTCATACATGTATTTAGCCTTTTTTGCAATGTAGACAGCATAATAGCAGACATACCTCAAGGAGAAAGTCACGTCTTCCTAGACCCTAGTGCCACTGTTAGGCAAACATTTATGTAAATATGTAATCATATATACTTTTCGAGGGACTTGCAAAATTGCAATAGGTTTGAGTGCTTTTGTTACAAAGCACAAACGGGGCTAATAGGGAAAAGCTGTAAAAGTTGCAAAATACTTTATAGAGAATCTGAATGGAAAGGGAAATGTCTATCTAGAGACATTTTTATTAGTATTTTCATTATGAGTGCAAATGCATGCTAAAGTGATTCGTAAAAAGGGGCAAATAGGTGTCAACATGCACAGACCAGTTTGAGTTGCAAACCTGTTTCGATGTCTTCAACTAATCAAAGTGCACCTCTCAGCTTTCCTTGTTGTGTAAGGTACCTTTCTGCCTCGTTTACAAAGTATGGCGTCCAAGAAAGGTATATCATTTCAGCCAAAGGTTCTATACTGTGTACAATCGTCTTATCATATTATATGCCTTTCAAGAGGGAAATGCTAACTACGTTTCAGATAGCTCGCCCGACATTCTGATTAAGCATTGGTTTCCAGTGTTTCGATGAGGGCGACAACAATGTTCTCCCTTCGGAGAGTTTCGTCGTTGCGTGGGGGGATAATCTTCGGCAGAAGAGGGACCCTGCGCGACTTCTGAATTTCGAGACCTTTGTCCCCAAAGTAACGACCAGCTTCAAAGTGCCAGCAGTCACTTGCTCTAATAAAGTGCCCGACTCCATCCAAATACAGTTGGATTTGTTTATCGACGTCAGGATTCCAGGATGGGATGTGCATCATTCCTTCGAGGAATTGCTTCTCTAGGTCTGCGTGAAGCTTGACAACCCATGTCTGAGCCTCTTCTAAACCAATGCCGAACTCGTTCATTATAACCGTAAGAATATTGTGACGGTCATCGCCAGTCGCCTGCTCCCTGTTGTATGAATCCATATCCTAGCAACTGATGTCACAATTTGCTCAGAGATTAAAGCATTAAAATGTGCACATTACCACACATGACCATCTCTGAAGCGAGATTGATCAACTCGGTCACAGCCGGATGGTAGAGCACCTCGTCTGGGATTTCGCATCCCAGTTCGAATATCGCAAAACAACCTTTAGTTCCAACGTTCTCGCGACGGTTCTCAATATAGGACCGAACGGAGGGGAGTGTCTCATTATCGCGATCTCTTGCTTGCTCGACCACAGAGTCAAGATACGCAACGAAAGTCTCGATCATATGACGTTGGGCCAGTGGAGTCGCGGTTTTGATTGCTAGCTCCCAGAATCTAATGAAACGAGGTTAGCAAAATCAACATACAATGTAGGTTGAATGAACTGACTGTCTTGCAACCTCGCCTAGGATGACTTCACCCTCTGGGCGCGGCTTGTGGGGATTGTTAAGTGCATCAATGACGGTGTCTACCATTTCGCGAACCACAGGCGCCGGTTCTACGTCGGTGTACTCGTCAATGACAAAGAACAGATTCATCAAGTCGCAGCCAGTCCGAAGATGTTCTATGCCCATGTTGTTAGCATCAATCGTGTGCTGTGGCCGTAGAAAACGTCTATTTACCTCTACAAACCAGTGGATATGCAAGGGCAGCAAGACGTGCTATTTTTTAACATTTTTAAGTAGCATGGATATCAATATCGAACGTTGTACGCACCAAAGTCGCACTTGTCAAATGCGTGCTGGGATTGCTCAGAGAATGCTTTGAAGCTGCGAAACCAGGCGCTCGACTCTGCCTTCACCACGTCGTAGTACGGGTTAATGGACCGTTTCCAGGGCCAATTGGCCACCATGTCGGGAAGATGAAGCATTTTAGCTGAGTTGGCCATGGTTGAGGATCTGAGTTCTGCTTTGTACCATGCAAAAGCGAGGCTTTATACTGTTGGTTTCTCTATTTGTGATACCCCATTCATCCTGGCTCTAGACATAGTGTTGCATCTATTTGAAAAATCTGTGAGAATTTACTTGACGAGAACAGAATACTACTAATAAATAAGTATTGAGGTTACCTACATTGCAGTTCATGAAACAGCAAAAATAACCTGAGAGTTTATTTTCGGTGACAATCAGAGAGCTTACAAGCGGATATAGTATAGGAACTAACATGGTAATTGCAGTGGCTGCGGCGGAGTTAATCTTACTCCTTGCGCTCCTTCCAAAGATCATGATGTTTGAGCCTTCGCGCAGTGGCGTCCGCCAATGAAGACAAATTGTTTCTCTGCTGTGTTTATAGTACTCTATTTATCTTGGGCTGGGCCAGTGATTGACAGATCGAATCACAGAAATTTTCAGCTGACTCACGACCTGACCTGACCTGAAACCTGACCTGAATGTAGTTGAGAGTGAATCCGGTCTGACCTAGCACAAAGAATGTGCATGCGAGAAATGCAGCTGCCGCTCCACACAGACATACAGAGTGCGACGTTCACAACGTCGCAATAAAGTCAAAGTGTCAATGAATAACATTTGAAAGACGGGGTAAGCTGGGAGCCAAGAGAATGTTATCTAGGGGCAACTGAATAAATTGTAGGCTCAGATTTTATCAACGAGAGATGGAAGAACGTTACAGACAACAGAATTTGCAGTCATAAAGTGAATACATGACCAATGCTAGCGTGTACATTTCTCACACATAGTACTTGAGAAATTTTGTTGGCAGATTTAAGAACTTGAGAACAGGAGTTTCCTAGTGCTGTAGTGACATGAGGTGGAGGACCTGGAGGTGCGTCCGAAGCCAACGCATCAACTGATTCAACTCGACTACCGGATGACACATTCGATGATGTAATCACAAAGAACCCACGCAGTGCTGCTAACCGAAAATGACTTTTGCAAAATATTGACATAACACAGCAGGCATATTAGAATATAGTAATCAAATATATTTGTATTATATGCTTCACCATATTCTGTAGCAGGGTTCTGATTGGTAAATAAGAATATGATTTAGAATATGATACAAATATGTCTGTGTATTATATTCTAATATGTCTGCTGTGTAAGTAAATCATAACATTTTCCCAGATATTGTAGCCAAATCCGTGCTAGAACAAGGGATATAAATCAGTAAGCTTTTATTATTCTGGTTTTATTTCAAAGTGCATGTAGTCTTGCTTACTGCCAGATATGTAAGATTTGCTAAGAGCACTTACACCTGTACAGTAGGATAATTGTATTTGCCTCAAGGAGAAAGTTACGTCTTCCTTAACACTACTTTTCCACATACATTTACATGAATGTATAATCAAGGGCTTACAAAATTGTTATAGACTACTGTTATTTAAATGCAAACTTGATTAATAGGAAACAGCAATGGTAGCCAAACACAGTTTGCTTGACAGGCAATTTGAAGAGTAATATGCAGATTCCTCTTAATAATATTATTATTACGAGAGTCAACGCTTGGTGGAGTAATTGGTGAAATTGGACAAATACGTGTTGATACATACAAATCATTTTGGGTTCCAAGCCTCTTTCGGTATCTTCGACTCGATCCAACTGCACTGCTTGCTCAGCCTTGGCTTTCTTTGTTACGCAGGACACCTTCCTGCCTCATATACCAAGTTATGAGTCATGAGTTATGTGTGATGATGGTCTTTACCGGTTTTGCCATTCTCAGCATTAAATCAATACCTAGCGGTTCTAGCCACTGTAGTCAGTGACTCAGTGGTCAGCCAACGTACCATACTACAAGCTGCGACTAATCCGATAATTCATTCGACGATCCACGCGTCTCCACAGACGCTGATTTACTGATGGCGGGAAAGAACAGACCTTCGGTGCGTCTCGCGAGCGCTAATGCTTGCTTGATTGTGCATATATACAAATCTGGACACTGGCATGCTACAAATCTACCTGCTAAACATTTGTAAATGCATACTGTACACAAGCAGCTCTGGATATTAGGCAACAGTCAAGCCGCTACTCAAAGTTATCGGAGAGTCATCAAGGTTTATATCAACTTTCCGACCTGCTGCTCCCTCTTCTTCAGACAGTGGCTCCGCTTAAGCACCAGTCAAAGGCTAAAGCAAGCATTACCGCATAGGTCACTTGTGTGCGGGAGTTTAAATCACGTGCAGGCCACTTGTATGGCCATGTTCATCGGAACCATCCACCTTTGAAACCACCAATTTCTTCTCCGATTCACCATCTCATCTTTTTCATTCTGTCCACCATCTTGCACGCCCATGTCACCAGCGAATACACTCATGAGGTTTGAAGAGTTACCTGTCGAAGCGGTCGCTCGTATCCTCTCGTTCCTCGACTGGAAAGATCTCCTCGTCGTTTCAAGTCTGAGCCGCTTCCTCCGCGAGGCCTACCAGAGCTTCCCCGAGCTCCAACTCTCTTATGCATTGCAGACATACGCGATGATTGACACGGATCCGACGCTCAATATGCGGCGTAAGCTGAATGAGCTCGAGCGTCGAGAGCGCGCGTGGCGAGAGCTAGACCCGTTACACAAAGTCACTATCAAGATCCCGCACCGAACATCACACATTTACGATTTGTCTGGCGGCGTCTATCTCCTCGGAGACTGCAAGAACTCAATAGTTTCTCGTGATACTAAAACGTTACGATTCTTTGATCTCTCAACTTGTACAACTGGTCCAGCGGTTCGTGAGGAATCATGGCCGGAGATACGGCTTGAGACGAACATCGTGGATATTGGCTTCGGACTCGATGAGTTCGACCTTGTTGCTGTTGTAGGAATCAACCCGGCGTGAGTTTACTCGCAATATCTTTAAAATACCTCAAAATTTCAATGTTATTTTCAGTCGCAATGGGGAACAGGGTTCTATCGTGCTCTCGTTCCGGGAACTGTCTACGGGCGCACCGCATCCTCTTGCAAAGCACCCAGATATTTTCGTTGATCCGGTTCACGGACATGAAGGCAAACTGTCGATCATGATGGAGATCGTCGGCCCGCGCCTTCTCTTGCTCTTGACCTGGTCCCGAACCGTGAATAGACGATTTGCACAGCCCCAGGATAAACTGCTTCTCTTCAATTGGTGGGAAGGCAGAAAAGTTGCAGTACGTACTGTCCTCTTCAACTATGCGCTTGTTTTCCCAAAATACTGCTGACCCTGGTAATGGTTTTGTGGTATGCTAGGCCGAGACTGCACCTCCGTTGACTTGGAATGGTTTCGTCTTCCTATCCCCGGAACTCATTCTTCTCCCAAATCATAACCATACGCTTGAGGTCGCTCGTCTGCCAGATGTTTCACAAACCTATTATTCGCCGATAGGACTCGAACGGTTGCTTATCCTCGAACTTCCCGCCATGCAACCTCTAGTCAAACTTGGTGCGATTCAATGTCGTTCGGAACCTAATCCGAAGGGCGCAACGCATCCGCGCGCTGCAGAAGTTAGATCAGCAAATACAGAGCATACAAGGAGAAAACGACGCTCACCTGTATTACCGGACCCGAACCAGGCAATTGTACTCCTGCAAATATACTATCGTGAATTCAACAACGAGCCACACGATGTTCTGATGGGACAATGGGGTGTGCTTCGGCACAACGTCTCGCTCGTTCTACGCCGTCAGTTCTTGCTCGACATCGTCAAAATTTTCGAACGCAGTCCCAATCTGGCCGACGCTATGAAAAAGTCCGACAGAGGAGTGAAACTTTGCGCACCGAGTATACCTTGGAGTCTGTGGAGCTCGAATGCACGTTGGCAAGCGGACGATACGCATGTATCAAATTGGATCACGACGTCTGCGGGACAAAAATATGTCGGTATTGACGACAACGGTCACCTGGTTGTCAAGGACTTCAACCCATATGCTATTCGTCACGCTTATGCAGCGCAGAGGCCTGGGTATTATGCGGCCGCTGAGAAATTGAAGGCTGGCACTGGCGATGAAGCAGGAATTGGGGGAATGCTCGGGTACAGAATGGATGATGAAGTTGGCCTTGAACTTAGGACTAACTCCTTCACTCAGGATGGTACTTATGTGCCAGGGCCGTATCAACCCCTTTCGGAGGAATCGGGTGTGAGCCTTGTCCCAGAGAGCGAACCCTCAACCCCACCTCCATTGTCCGACGTCAACTTGGGATCACCCATAGGTGATGACTCGCTCTACTACACTCCTAATTCCTCCTTCACATCGTCCTCGTCTCCCATGCCCTCCGCCTCTTCCGACCCGTCCAATCCAACCCCTAACTCGGACTCACCTCCAGGTTCAAACTCAGAAGAGGATACAACATGGCAGCGCGCCCGTATCGTAACTAAGTACAACGAAACCGAAGAGACCGAGCTTCGCCAACTATTCAACGAGGAGTGTAGTTCCCCTCTGCCGTGTGTAGAATACGTGTCGAAGAATACGTATGATCATCACGGCTTGTTGATGGATGAGGAGAGGATTATTGGATTGAGGGTGAGTAGTTTTACTTTTACTTTCTCTTTATATCGATCTCTCAACCCCTGTTTTGGCTTTCTGTTGTTTCTCCCTTTGCCTGATTGATATTATGTGTTGTTGCTCTAACTAATGACTCGTTTTTTGTAGCATGACGAACAGCATGGGTCTGTCCTCGAGCTCGACGTCTTCACAATCTAAGGATAATCCCACAAGCAGAGAAACGATGCCTTCAAGCATGGGCAGACGTCTTGATCTAATTAACGAAAATTAACAAAGTGGTCCCGTTGTAAAGTAGTAGGATGCCGTAAGTTTATACTGTCACTCTTAACCGTAGTTTCTTTCCACAAGTTGTAAAGGTACTAAACGTTAACTTTATGCCGTCGCACTTAACCATTTTCTCTTTTCACGAGTTGTAAAAGTACCAAACATTGATTTATGCTGTCAGGCCTAACCTATTCTCTTTTGCACAAGTCGTGTAGAATGAACAAGTTGTATTCTTATATAACATTTTGAATTGGATTTGGTTTTATTCAGTTTACTTACTCTGGAAACTCCGAGTCACTGTAACCTCTGAGGTTACACACGTGACTTTAGTTAAGTATATAAAGGGCTATTTGTAGACACTTAGAGATTATCTTCATACTTGCTCCTGTACTTACAGTGCGCGTCAAAAGTATTGCAACACCATATGACAATTTACTTTTTTGCTCGTAACTCAATCAAATCTTTATCAATTAAAGTACTGTAAATTGTAGAGTAAAGAA